AATAAGTAAAGGTCTCCGAAAAGATCCTGTATGTATCTATTGGAGGAACTATCTCTGATGTATTGCTCTCATTTGTGCTGTTTCCATTAATTATTTTGCCTAAATCTGTAACTTTATATTCAAGTATATTATTTTTTTGCTTCATTTGCTCAAAGCTATAAACCAACAAAGTAGAATCATATATTGGATCTACAACCGCTCCAAAAAACAGTCACACAGAGAAAATCCAAAGAAATTCCTGAATCATTTTTAATATAAAAGCCATATACGTAACCAATCTTGTTTACGATCAATGCAGAACTTCTAACAACATAAATGGACAGAACAAGGACACTTATACGTATAGAAAACCAAATAGTAAACCAAAGCAGAAAGTTGTAAGGAAACACTATAAACCTTAATAAAAATGGAAAAGAATGAATCCACCGCCATTTGCTGAGAAGAGTACATCTTTCAGCGCTTTGGAATATCAACAACCACATCCTTGTAACAAATCGGACAAGCCTGTTATGCGAGAGATCGTTAGCCGAAGTATGAATTGGGCACTACTTAAGAAAGAAAGGAAAGCGTAATCACTTACCTTATTGATACTAAGCCATCTGCTCCCACAGCCAGTATGGTATAAATGTTTACATGGAAGAGTAATTCGCCTATCGCCTCGTTTATACTCCATTTGGCATATTACACACCTTTTTAATCCCAAAAAAAAAAACATTTAATTACTGGAAACCGGAATATAGTTGTGAGATAGGAAAGGCTTGTCTGTTACCCATAAAACTACGCCGGAAATTAATAAAATATTATCATACCTTTCACCTCTGAATTTCCTTCTTGAAAATAAGCCACACTTGAACTTCGACGTTGGAAGCAATGCAATTTGATTTTGTGAAAGACCCCTGCTTTGAGTCCCAACTGCCTCGCCCAGTTCGAGTAACTCCTATAGGGAATATGATATTAGTTAATAACTTAATATATAGTGTCCAGAGAGCACTACACTAACGATAAACCACAATTCAAAATTGCTTTAATGCATATGAGTGAGAAGTTTTCAGATCAAGATACAAAAAGAATGTTAGAGAGATGATATATGATTGAAATTTCAAACCTCATATGTCATGTTGTCGGGATCGATGTTGTCTTGCCAAACAACCTGCAGTAACTCAAAGAAGATGAGATAAATAAAACTTAATTACCTCTAATCCCACATTCAACGGTGATTGTAAACGACCAAATAAATACGAAGGGGGGGAATACGATACCTCGTTATCAGGAGCATCCTGATGATTTCGAGGACCTATAATTGAAATGCAAGGAATATTGATTATTTTAACGAGGATAACACGGTGCATGTTAAAGCGAAGATTTTGCTGCAGAGATATCTTACACTCGATTGGTCGAGAATGAGAAGTGGAGTTCGAATTTCTTTCGTGGTGTGCATGTGAAACAGTAGCCTGATCATCTGTCATTAGGCTGCTCATATGCCCGATATATTCATCGCTCTCTGGAATATGATTATCGACCACGTAGCCGTTGCCATATTCATAGTACGAAAAACTCCCTGGTTCGGATACTGCAAATTTGTATAAACTGGTATTTGTTCCTGGGTAAGGATTGTAAGCATTATCCTGCGCATAATTCAGACCAATGTAAACAAATGAAAAGACGGGAAGTTAATTTATTACAGCCTATGTTATGTAAGATCTAGAAAGCAAACAATAGATCGTATCCTCTGCAATATCTATTGAGAGTATATTCACATGAGTTCTAAACATAACTAAAAATGCTAAAGATCGGTGTTAACTAGTTGAGACCATTAAATAATATAGTTGTGACAGAATCCGAGATATTTTACGACAGCTCATTAAATTACTCTATTACATTATAATAAGCAAACCAGAAGAAGAAAGTCGGAAATTCTAGAAAGCCGATCAAAAAACATTTTCGATAATTACCTGAACATAATCGGCATCCGCGAAAATGTAATTCATGTGTTCATAAGTAAGACCTCCGAAAAAATCCACGAAGCTTCCAATTGAATTGTAGGGCATCGAATGGTTTTGGTAGTGAACTTCCATCGGCGGATTCCAGCTCATATTGGAACGTAGTGCTGATAAATCATAAAAATACACAGATCAAAGTTAGTATATAGTAAATTAGTATCGTATTTAAAGTTCCAACGAAACATCAAACATATACTACTCACTAGTAATTTCTTCGCAAAATTTGAGGTAAACGTAGATTTCGTAAATCGGATACTTCCCCTTCACCTGCAATGAATGAAACAACCATTCAATCTTTTCATCCAACAATTGCATCTCAAACATACTTGCATTCAACACAAATAGTAATTACAAAACTAACAGAACGCCTACTAATTACAAAATTAGGACTTATATTTCCATGTTAATAGAAATCAGTTCCCAGAGAAATATTTCAAAATTCAAACACTACCTAAGAAAATCAAAGCAAAGTTAGAAAAATCATCAGCATGCAATTCCTGAAATTGCTCGGATCACAAGCAAATTGAAAGCAACCTAAAAACATTTATAATTATCAGTACCTCTAGCGGCGCAGATTAAGGGGAATTAAATCCGATTTTTATGTCAATTAATCCAACAATCCAGAAAGAAGAACAAAAAAAATGTTCAATCAAGCAACAAATCGATACAGGAATTGATTCTTTGGAAGGGAAAAGAAGGTATTAAAGAACCGGCATTGATCGCTTTTTCGAAGGCAAGTCTTCTGCTTATCAAAGAGACTCTCTCTCCTCTCTCTCTCTTTCTCTCTCTCTTAATTTGAGACAGAGAGCAATGGCGTTCACCTTTTGTCTCTCTCTCTTTATGCATTGAGACTGTGACAGTGATAAAATGCTCACAGGAACCCCGGAGGTACAACTCATGCTGCGTAAGGAACAAATAGTAGCTGAGGGGAGTGGCCCAGGCTACCTGGCAATAGAAGAAAACTACTTGGAAGTAGTAATTAGTTTCAATTGTCTCTCTCACATGTGGCGCGTGAGTTTTCTCTGTATTTGAGGCTTTGAGCAGACACGCGAACCTTGTTTAGAGGAATATAGAATAGTTTCCGCTGCCACGTGGCACACCATAAGCTGGGATTCGGTACCACTCGGTGCACTAATCTTTGGTTAAGCTTAGGCTTAGCCGCCTAGGGGTGTAAAATCAAATAGGATTTTGCACCCGAAAGCAGAAAGGGACCAGATAAATGTCGTTTCAGTTTTGATAATACTTTTTCAACTTCAAACATGAGTTTGACTATTTTTAGGCTAAATTTGGCAACACTTGAAACACGGAATTTGTAGCTAATTGATTTAGCTTTCTAATCCAACTCGATTCACCAAGATTGAATGTTGAATAAAAAAGATATGAATTAATCAATGAACGGTTCTCATAATTTTCATGTTTTGAGTTATCTAAAATTTAAAGTGTAATTTATTCATGCATAATTTTGTTCGTACGACATCCAATCTAACTGATTTAAAATTTGTTCATTATGAGAAGAAAAATCTCTCGAAACACCTTTTAACGAAATGCGAATAAGTTTCAAAATACTTCCAAATATTATCGAATTTTTTTGAATTGAAATCGGCGAAAAATCAAATATTCCATTTTGTTATTCGCCTATAACACAGTAAAAATACATATTTGATATTACGAATGTACTTTTCAGAAAAAAAAAATCATTTTTTTTAAATTATTTTCGAAATTGGATCAGAAATTACAATCTTATATATACTCTAATGTCGATAAAATAAATTCAAAAAATAATTACTAGTTTGCGTCTTAATTAGGCTTTGTTTTGGCCACCTACAAAAGTTTCCAAATGTAGATACAACTAAAGGGGCTGACGTGGCGAGTGGGGGGACCAACTCGGTGATCTTTTGACCGGAAACCGGAGTCATCGGTTTTTCTGAGTTCCGATGTTGAGGTTCTCATGTGGGACCCACCCAGCCCAATTATTTGGGTAAAAAGTATTGGCGAAAGGGAAAGACCAGTTTCTTGTACTTTACTCCTTCACCTGTCTTCTGTAGTGGGCAGGAATATAATTTCTCATGTACAAAATAAAGGAGATGGGGTTTTTCTTTTTCTTTTTCTTTCTTTTTTCTATTTATTTATTTATTCTTTAATACAAACCCCTTTATTTTTGGGATTTGCTTTTTACCGTTTGAAAAAGGCTATTTACCGTTCAAAAAAACTCTCTCTCTCTCTCTAAAAAAAATTGCTCTCAAGACGATTTCTTCACAAATCATTCTTATTGGTGTGATATACGAACATAAATGAGTTCATCGGATGAAGATCGAGATAGCGAACACAGCGAGGTAAAAATTCCGTGTTTTCGATCGAAAAAAATGGGCTAAACAATCGAAAGCCCAACATGGGCGCCCGACAGTGCAGCGCATAAAAAAAAAAGCGTCTGTTGTGTATGTCTATTTATTGTGGGCGTGTAAATATAACTTGTCGCACGATCGGGCAGCTTGCGTTGTGCGTCGGACTAGACATGATACCGAGGATAGAATGAGTGCATTAAGAAGGATTACCTGTTAGAAAAAAGATAAGAGGTCTTATGGGGATGGGGGGGGGGGGGGGGTGGCATGCTTCCTCTGATATCTTTTTCTATGTTTAAGTCTGGTATAATGTCGCGTAGCATGTAGGTGTTTACAGTAGCAGTGTAGT